AAGATTTGAGAATTCCTTTCTAGTGCCAACCATGAGGGCAGGCAGGAACAGTAAGTCCAGTGATCTTACACAGTTCCTACTACTAGGATACAAACATGACAAAATCCAGTTTCCTCCACAGAGAGTGTTTTCCCAGAATGCAGGAGCTGCTCAAACAAATGGCTGGAAGCTTTTTTTTAATGGGTCTATGCCCAGGACAATGAGTCTCTCTAACATCTTATAATGTTAATTATTATTCACAACTCAGCACTTACCTCTCAGTTTCACAGAAGCATAACGTTATTTTTGCAGTTCTTCCACAAAGTCAACAAAGATTTCAAAGATGTACAATCAATGCTACTCATGCTCATTGAACTATCATTGCTTGCACACTCTTTGCTCAAACACAAAAAGATTTTATTATACTTTGAGGTTCATGACAAAGAGCTAATGCATTCTGCAACTTCAGAATATGAAAAGCCTTAAGGAAAAGACACAGCATTGCTTTTAACATAGTTAAAAAATGACAACATAATACCCACTGTACCTGACACAATTCCTTTTCTTGTAGTCAAAGGAACTTTTCTACTTTTGTTTTTCACAATTAGAAATTGTATTTATCATGAGGTATAAATTCAACTTTAATTATGTGCAATGAAATCTTCCTCACTCTGAGTAAGAATATACACAAACACCTGGAACATAAATTCTGAAACACCAGTACCAAAAAGTGCCAGAGAGCATGCACAGACAAAAACGAGTGTGCACAGCTTTCTGATGTCGGCCAGCATGTTACCTGCACTAAAACACATGGTTAAACATAATCAACCTTACATGTGCATGCACCAAGCCATCTTCAGTTGACATTATCCAATAAATTCAAAATCTGAAAAGTTCAACTGGAAAAGTCTGTTTAGTATTTAAACAAATCCGTATTCATTTTCCTGAGAAATTCTCCTGAACATTATTACAGTGTTGCAATGGTTTAATTGTTGTGAGTTGCCGTGTAGAGTTGTCAATAGCTCATTTGTTCGTTTTCAGAGTAGCTTCACTGTAAAATTTGAGTTAAGCTTTTCCACAAAACAACGTACTGTACAGTACGTTCCAGGTTTTCTTGATCCAGAGTTTTCTGTTAGTGTCTCTTTGTTTTTCAATTACTCGGTAGAGAAAAGGCTGCTGCAGTGATCTGTTAATTGTCCTGTTATATTCAATGTAGCACTTCTACTTACAGTAAAACAGTACTTAATTAAATTGAAATGTCTTTACACCACTCTATTTTTTAAAATGTCTGTACCGTCATAATTATCAATGTGTCACAAAAACTGCCAACAAAAAACTTCATCGGTATTGGTAGCGTTTCGATTAGCAAAGAGATAATAAATATTTCGCTAATTAAGTTTACGGCCATATTCATATTTTCTAACAGTATTCCGCAAAGTAGAGCAGCCCCTCAATTCATACTGCGGTATCTGGTATTCCAGTTAAACTGCCAGACAAAAGGACGGTTGCAGACTCCGTTAGTATCTAAATCGTGATACAGAAATAAAACGTTTACATTTCAAGTACGTCTTCAGCATGCATTTATTGTGTTTACTTCATAAGAATGGGTGCGGTCTTTAACAACAGTAAGCCGAAAAATTAATAAATGGTGAGGTAATTGTCTTATTAACAACTGTATGACAAGAAAATACGGCTATTATACGGCTGAAAACTAAGATCTATTTTTCAACACGTTACAGGTTAAGGATGTGTTATGACAGCGAAATAGCGTGGTATAGAGCGAATAATCGCCTGGAAAATGTGATAGTGCTAAAACACTTAGCCCGACAGTGAAGATTTAAATGACAGAAAGGCTAAATCACTTCCAAGTCAACGATAAATGTTCGCGTTTTAGCTTTCCGCGGCTGAAATAGATGCAATTCCCTTAAGTGTGGACCTCCTGGATGTCCCTCCGAGACACCATGATGAGATAAGACCGTGACTTGCCGATACTTTCGACAGAGAAGTTCTTATAGAGCGTCGGGGGAACCCGTGTGAATTAATGAATACACTACGAAGTTTTTCACTTCGGTTATTCTTCGCTTTACAAGACAGGAGAACCGGGAGATATTTCTCATGCGCGCTATGATAACCGACAGTGTGTCGGTCTGCACTAGGATGTTCCCGAAACTCACGAAGACCAGACCAGTGCAAGAAATAATTAGACATCGTCTTTTCATCGTTTAATTCACATATCTTAAGAAAACGATTTTGTGGTCAAAAAGTTAGAGGAAGCCACAGGTGCTTTATTTGCTCTTAATCTGTTGATCATCTCGTTTGTTAAGTCAAAGCTTTTAATAAATTAATAACTTCATTTGTATCGACACGTTATAAATAAACTCCACTGTATTGGTTTACTGTCACTAACCCACAGCACCGGAGATTTACTGTAGTGTAATTTAGTACTATACCTGTACTACAGAGAGAAACTAGTTCACAAGAACAGTATTCTTTAAAATAATGTGTGTCGTGGGTGGTTCAGCGTGCTAAGACAGGTAAGCTGTTTGCATCTAATTCCGCATACTTTTCTTGCAGGGAAACCTTGGTCACAGACAAAATGTCATTACTTGAACTGAAATAAAGAATTCATTAGCAGTAAAAGTAATGGGAAGGAAATGTAGCACGGGGAAGTCCAGAGTGCTGAAAGCGCAGAGTATTTGTGGCAAACGTCTATGAAGTTGGCGTTTTTCTCTAACGGGGAATAAACTATTGGAAGAGTGTTGGCAGCGATGGATCATATTTGCATGAGCTGTCATGGTGACCAGAAGAGTGTGTTGAGCGAGGAGACGCGATGCACCTATGACACGCATGGAAAGACAAGGTTCAGATAGGTACTCACACTGCTGTTCTCTCCTGTCCAGTGCACCATTGCTTGGTTATGGGTTGCATCTCCTTTGAGCACGAACGAACTGCTGAGCAGAGCGACTTTATCTTGGGACAGGGCTCTCCTGAAGCGCGAGGCTCCCATACCAGCAGCATCTCCATCATTGTTAGCAAAGCTTCTCCTCAACACACCGCCGCTACTATCAGGAATCCCTGCCCCGCTTGTGCGTTTCAAAACACCGCTCTCACCCTGCACGGGATCCAGCAAAGACATCCACGCCGAAGCCCACACCACACAGAAGTAGAGGTGCGCGGACAGGCGCCTCTTAGGAGAAAGAGATGCCCCAGTTTGCGCCATGATAGCGCTTTATCTGATACTGACAGAGACTGTGATGTGAATGGAAGATAGATAGATCCACTGTAAGAAGAGAAGGAGGTAGGAGGGATTGTAACCAGAGCGAGGGTATATATTAGAAACAACGTGGTCATTTTTCATGTGCAGGATAATGAACTGTAATGGGAAAAGTACTGCTGCCACCTGGCGCTAAATCGTTGCAACGTGACTTCTGTTGCAAGTGCATTGCAGATCGCGGAGAATTAATTTTCTGTAATATTTTTGCACTACAATACTGTACTCGCGTCTCTACCAATTCAGTCTGGTAACTAAGGGTGTAGTTGCTACACGTCTTTTATAATTTTAAGACTGACCACTGGGTCATGTACATTCGGGTATTTATTTGATGCTTAATACGTTTAAAAATAATAATGCAAATTAATTCTAAATTCCTTAGTATCTGTGACTTCTTCGGTTCGACTAAGCCTTTTAGTTGTTAATTTAATGTATTATAAAGTAAATGTTAAGGCATAAATGTCAAGTTTAAATCGAATTCCAACTCAGCCCACGGTTTTATTTTAGAAAAGAAAATGGGATAGAAATGTTTGAGCAGTATAAAATAGGATCGTGTGCTTGAAACAGAACTGATTGCTAGTTTTATTTTTGCAGTCCAATTAAAACTTTTGACCTAAAATTCTTGACTTTACGGCTTTCAGGTCTAAACAGCATGTCTGCACCTTTGTTTTCTAAACTATTAATTGGAAATTAACAGGTTTTAATTGGAAATTGTCGAGTTTGTAGAGGTTATATGTTAGGCTGACCTTTAATGTATTTTTTTCAATCAAATAATTCCGAAATATATTTTCGCCCTGAACCTGAATCTGTGTTCTGCTCGTTTCTCTGATAACTTTCCGTGAAGCAGGTTTAAGGGGAAGTGGATTTCTGATTTCTATTCTTTTTGATGACGGGCCATGCTTTTACCTCTTCTGTATCTACGAATTATAAACCACAACACGGTTTCCTGATTTTATGCTGTCCTTTCATATTTGGCACTTCATTTATGCAGATTGCAGGAAATCCTCCTTATTTTGCATTTAATTTTCCTTTTCGACTCGTCTCGACGTATTCCTAAATGATTGTTTATGGCGCTTTGTAATGTGGCTGGTGGAGCTGCTGAATTGTCTTCCTGCCTCACAGGCAACCGCTGTCTGTCAACAAGCAGGCCCCGATCAGGAAGTCAAGTCGCTGGCCAGGACTGTCTAGTCGCTGGAGAACTCCACTTGGCAGTGATTAATGGCAACCTGACCGCAGGGCGATACTTTGATCAAGCGTAGGGACCTCACTTGCTGTCCTTCCTTCAGGCTCCTGAAATGACAACAATCCAGCTGGCCGAGACACTTCCTTATGCTCGTAACAGTTTTCTGAGTTGAGAATGTACAGCACAAGTTATTCCTTGGATGACTTACTCCACAGGTTTCATTCCCATTGAAGATTGAACTGGGATGGTGTGCAGCAGACGCAGTAACCATGCTTGTCCAGGCTCTCTCAGAAATTGGACAAAATCTCACAAAACAGGGTCTGCTCACTGGTGCAAAGCATGTACTATAGGTGTACTGTACAATTTGCTCTGCTTCCACTAGTGGCCAGATCATGTACTAGCTCCTGTTTTTCACAGTAGTCCCTCCTGTTGAAAAACCTAATTGATGACAAATGTTATAGTGTAACGACTATGCCCCTGTGCATGACAGGGATCATGGCCAGACAGACTGAGGAAGGTCTTCTTCAGCTCAGCCGGCAAGACCCCTGTTGTGGGACGCTGGAAACACAGGTTCGCACCCCTGCGGTGGAGGGACGGACTGGGGTGGGAGCAGCGAGGGCACAAGCCCTAGAACCCGAATCCGTTACAATATTAAAATGCATAATGAGTTTTCTTATGTCGTGCCTATTCAATAAAATGGCAGTTCACCTACTGCAAAAAAGATTTTGTCGTTTCCTGGATAAAGACTATTCCTGGATAAAGACAGTGTGTTGTACTTTAGTTCTATATTTCTTTTGGTGCACATTAGCTCAAAGTAAAACACTTACTGTGAACTACACATGTGTTTCAAACATGAACAGACTGTCTCGTTTCTGAAATTCTTATTCTTACTCATCATTGTAATGTGGCCTCCTGTGCATTATATTACAAGTTTTCTACACCCACATCTACACTGAGGTCTGTCAATGTTTACTCCACTCAGGCAATTCTGCCACTGCAGCTACCTGCTGAACCAAACAAATCACCTGCGAATATATCCTCATTTAGAATGACGAATGTTTAGGAGCCTAGCCTTCTTTCTTTGGGACAGCAATCTTTCATTTCACCACAAAAATCAAGGTTTCTAGAAGTGCACAAACGTAATATGGTTTGATTATAAACTAGGACAGCAGCCCCTTCCTTCCTCCTGTCATTCGAGATTAAAACTGCTTGCAATAACTCATAGCATCCATGAAATAATTTGGTCCGTAGTTCTACCAGGCTACAGTTTGAAGCTTCTTAATTTATTCTCTATTATTAAATGTAGAACATGTCAGTGAGTGTTTAACCTTGAACATGCAGCGCAGGGAATAGGAATTATAGTGTGAGGTTGAGTAAGAATGGCTCGTGAAACCTTGGCAGTGCAGCATTGTTCTGAATGTTATTAGCAGCTGCATAGCACAAAGAACAGTCATGCGGTTAGTTGCCTTTGAGGGAATGACTGGAGCTACAAAGCATCAATCTGTTCTCCTGTCTGTTCTTCAACAGCCTTGGGGTATGCCCACTGGCTTAATCAACAGAAAATCGCCGAATAATTAAACTTAATCTTCGATTCAATATTCCTGTTGCTGTGGATTTTGCTTGAAAAGATCTAATGGCCTCCGAAAAATGACTCACCCCCATGCAAAGTTTCTACATTTCATTGCTGACTTGCAGTCCCGTCACTGTCAAATAGCATTTTATATTTTGAATATTCTCAATCTACTAAAAACTGAAACTAAATTTTTAAAAAATAAATGTTGACAATTTGTAAATAAATAAGATTATTAAAAGTAGAAGATTCTGATTTGCAGGAGCATTTAGTTCCTTTGCTACAGCATCCCCAAATCAGTTCAGTTGCAAACAAAAATAGTATGAAAGGTCACAAAATGAGTGAGATCAAACCGATTTAGCTTGACAACGTGGTAGATGTAAGATTTGTTTTGATGTTTTTTTTTCAATGATAGTTGATTTGAAAAAAAAATACTTGTCATTTATCAAAATGAAATATTTTTGGTAAGGAGAGAATCATTTTGCAAAGCACTGTATATAACCATTTAACATGATATTGGAGTACAGTAATGAATAAGAAAGTTATTTAAAAGATTACAGAGGTCAATTTAGAAAGCTTGTTATAGTAGGTTTCATTTGACTTCAAGCAACTTTTCCTTCATTTTGGATCACAGTGAAAGAAGGAAGCATGATAGTTTTGAAAGAGTCAGAAGAGTTCAAGCTATTCAATCAAGTAGTTTTAAGTTTTTCCATGCAATGAACTTGCATCATATTTATTTATTTTCTCTCAAACACATGCATATAATTGTATTAAACTACACATTGATTTTGTACAGTAATTTAATGTTAAGCTAATGGCTAAGCTATGATTTAATTTATTAACCCCCAATCACAAAACAGGCACGCGTTAGACTTCTCGACAGTGACCTAGCAAAGTCATTCAAAGGTTGTGCGTTAAAATCCCACCAGAGTTGTTGCCTGCAGCCATATCACTCTGCAACTCAAAACTGGCAACCCACTGAAGCTAAGAAGGTGTGAGGCTGGATGGAAGACCTCCTGGAAAAAACTAAGGTTGCTGCTGTAAGAGGTGACAGGAACACCATACTGTAGAAAGGCGCCGTCCTTCAGATGAAATGTAAAACTGAGGTCCTGACTGTCTGTGGTCATTAAAAATCCAAGGGTGTTTCTCGAAAAGAGTAGGGGTGTCACCTTGGCAACTTGGCTACAATTTCCATTGGCCTTTACTAATCATGACCTCCTAATAATATGTCACGCTCGTAAAAAGGATGCTCCAGCCATTCCTAGTTTAGTGTTTATCTCCTGCACCTGCCTCCAGTTTTTGCCACCCGTCCTATAAAAGCCAAGCATTCCTGCCAATCTGGGCTCAGCTTTGGAAGATGGACGCCCAGAAGCCCGCCTATCCATGAGTCAAGGAGTGACTCGGCAGTACCGGCTTCAATGGCGTCCTGACCCTCTGAGTCCGGGACTGAGAGCGTCTAGTCTCGTGACCCCCCTTTTACTGGTAAGCATTGCATGGTAAGTTCGATTTTGCCGTCAGAGAGATCACTACGAGGAAGTAGCTCTTCTTGACCCAAGGTTCTCCAATATGATTATCTCCACATCTAACAATCATATCCCAAGAGGTTTCCGAAAGACCTACATTCCCGGCTAGGACGAAGTATGTACAAACTTAGCCTCTGAACTTGAGTCATCAACCACAACAGAAAGAGCGCAATCCATCGGCTCGGCTCTAATAGAATACCTGGACAACAAAAGGAAACGAGTGGAACAACACAGTCTCTGAAATCGACATGAAGCACTCTAGTAGAAGAGCCTGGCAAACCATCAACCGACTGACCGGCCAAAGCCATAAACCACAAACCCAAAACCAGGTTAAAGCCAAAGACGTCGCAAAGGTGCTTGTTGACAGTGGCAAACCAACCCACATAGAAAAGCAGTTTGCCAGGAAAGTTAAACAAGAGATTCATGACAGCTGGCAAGCCAGCTCAGCAGATGATAACAGTCACAGCAGCTTCACCTATTCTGAACTGATTGCAGCGATTTCCACCCTCAAGGCAGGGAAAGCTCCAGGACCTGACCACCTGC